CTTCCCAAATCACTTCCCTGCTGTAAATATTACACTTTTCCTACCCTGAACCTTAAAAGCAGTCTTCAGAGGCACCACTATCCCCACACTGGAGCTGGGGAGGCTGACGTGCCCGAGAGAGTGGCAGCTGAAACCTTGTGTTGGGAGCCAGGCAGGGGAAGGAGAGCGGGGAGGAAAGCTGCTCCGCCCACTGCCCCTCCTGACTTGGGGCGGGGCGGTGGGGCAGCCAATCCCCATCCCTTAAACTGAGAACAAATGAGACGAAGAAAACCCCACAGAGTTCCATGTACTACAAATATACCAGTGGAAATAAAAATGAAAATACCATTTTTAAAAGATCTAACAATAAATTACTTAGACATAAGCCTAACAGAGTATATTTATGTTGCAAGTAAAAGTGGCTAATGAAAGAAATCAAAGTGCTAAATAAGTGGAAAGACATATTTTGTTCACAGATTGAAAGACTCAATATTGTTTAGATGCCAATTTGCCTCTAATTGTTTGGGAGATTTAATGCAATCCCAATAAAAATTCTCGTAGGATATTTTTTGTAGATGCAGACAAGCTGATTCTCAAATTTTAATGGAAAGGCAAAGAAACTAGAATAGCCGAAACAATTTTGAAAAATAATATAATCTACCCAATTTTAAGTCTTCCTATGAAGTTGCAGTAATCACCTTGGAGTGTGACTGGCAGAAACAGATCCATACATGTAGAAGGACTTGATTTTTGACAAAGTTGCCAAGACCATTCAATGGCAATTCAGCAATCTTTTCAACAAATAGTGCTGGAACAATTGGAAGTTTATATGCAAAAATTAATCTTCAATGTACACCTCGTAACAAATTCAGAGAAAACTATAACAAATTTAGAGAAAAATTTTCATGACCTAGTGTTAGGCAAAGACTTGTCATCAAAAGCATGATCCATAAAAATAAAAAATGGACCAATTGGACTTCATCGAAACATAACAGCTTTGTTCTGGGAAAGAAACTTAGACACACGACCAACTGAGAGAAAAAAACTTGCAATGCACAGATCTGAAAAAGGACTTCCATTTAGAATAGACAAAGAACACTAAAAACTTAGTAAGAAAGCATTCTATTTTTAAATTGGGTAGAAGCCATGAGAAGACACTTCACCCAGTGGACTACTCATATGACAGACAAATAAGCACATGAAAAGCTTCCCAAAGCAACTGGTCCTTAGGGAAATGGAAATCAAAGCCACCATGAGATACCTCTACACACCTGTTAGAGTGACCTGGTAACACACAGAGCAGGCTGTGGTCGGTGCTGGTGAGGATGCAGAGTCATCGGGTCTTTACACACAGCTGGTGGGAACATAAAATGACCCAACTAGTAGTTTGGGAGTCTCCGCAGTTTGGGAGTTTCTTCCAAAGTTAAACACATACTTACCACGTGACTCAACAATCCCACTCCTGGATGTTTACTCAAGAGAAATGAATATTTACATTCACACGAAGAGCCGCGTGAGAATGTTCATAGCGGCTCTATTCATAATCCCCCAAAACTGGAACTGACCCCAGGGGTGTCGCTCAGTTCAGGGGGCACTGGTCGGCACTCTGAGGTGCCCCCACACAGTGAGATGCTGCTCCGCAGTAGTAAGAAGAGAAACCCCCCCTGTACTAGGAACAACTCGGAGGAATCGTAAAGGTGCCGGGCTTCATCTGCAAAGCCAGACCAAAGGCTGTGCACTCTTTCATTCGGCTCCTGTGACACTGCAGACGAGACAAACCGCAGAGATAGAAAGCAGATCGGTCTGGGGCTGGTGGGGCTGTCCCCTGCTGTTACGGTGGTGGTGGTGGTGGTGAACCCACAGAGTTCCGTGGTTACAATCGCAGAATGCACACCAAACACATTTTCCCCATTAAATTATAAAAGGCAACATCTCAAATGGGAGGAGCAATCAGAAGAGTTAACTTCTCACTGATGGTGGAATTTGAAGCCCTGTGACATCAAACCACAAAGAGAGGTTCTAGGGAGAGGGAAGCCTTCTGTAATACCATAGACAACCCCCTAGGCAAGGAGCATGCTGAGACCCTGAACCCCCTGCTCACCCAGGACAGGGATTTGTTCAATGTTTTCCTCTTCAGAGTGGGCAGCAGTTTTAAGAAAGGGGCCCCACTCATGGGATCCCCACGGTGCTCAACCTCCCCTCTTTCTCCACGACTGCCTGCTCTCCATCAGGCTGTCTGCTTTCCAGGTCACTGTGAAGTGACTCAGGACGGAGGTGCTAATAAGAGGAACACAACTGGAAGGCCATGGAGGGCGCAGGAGCAGATGAGACTGCCCACCCCCAGGAGAGCACTGCTGCAGACCCTCACCGAAGCAACTTCCCTGTGACGCACACGCGCACATACAGACACAGCACAGATATGTGCACACACACAACCAAGCACCCACACAGATTCAAAGACATGTGCACACACAGTCACAGACACTTATACACATGTATGCACACACCATGTCTCCCTCGTGCTATCACCTAATACAGTACAGTGAGCACACACTGGAAATGGAGGCACCGCAGACAGGCCGTGGCCTGCGGTCGGGAGCGCCAGTGCCCGTCCCTGGGGCCCTCGGGGGGTGTGTGCCCCGCCAGTCTCCTCTGTGGCACAAGTCATTCTCCAAACACCTACCAAGTTTCCGTCCAATCAACAGGTCTGGCCCGGGACTCATCCTGTGTCCAGGTCGGATGAACTCCAGGTACACAAGTCACCTCAGGCCCTCCTGAATTCAATCCTTTGTCCACTCAAATTCTGCCCTTGGCCCCTTCCTAGGTCCACAGCTTTGAACTCTTAAGGCTGGACTTTTCCTGGGTTTCAAGCACCTGCTTGATTACAATCACTACAGACAAGTTTAAAAATAGTGATGCCTAAGCCCCAACCCAGACCAACTGAATCAGAATCTCTCAGTTAGGCAGGCATCAGGATTTCCAGAATATCCTTGGCGACCAGAGGCTGCTCAGAGGCTGTCCAGCTGGTCCGCTCGGACCCGCACCAGCAGGACCAAGCTCCATTCATTCCACTGAGCTCCACCTGGGTGCTGGCCCCTGGCCTTGTACTGGGGAAGACAGATAATAACTTGAAATCTATCACAATGAATCACTATAAACATCACCTGTCATGTGCTGGAGCCCTGCAGAGTCCCATAAGGAAAACACAGGGGTGGGGAAGGGTCCGTTTGGAGTGGGCTTGGGGAAGTGGCTGGGAAGAAGTGCTAATTCTGACAGAGAACGGGAAGATGAGAAGGAGCCACGCGGAGTGTTCCCGAGGCCTCCCTTATGGTTTGCCCCTCAGGCTTCCCCAGTGAAGAGAGACCTCCAGCTACACAGGACTTTGGGTGAAGGACAATCTCACCAGAATTTTTCAACCAGCTTCCGTGGACAATCTCTTTGCCCCCTTTCCGCCTCACGGAGCCCAGTGAGGGGGTCAGAAGTTCTTGTAGGTAAAGAAACAAAGGTTTAGAGGATAAGGACTTTGAGAGAGCCAGGTGGGCATTGGCTAGATCTCCCAGGAACGTCTCATACCTCTGAGAACAGCTAAGGTCTCACCTCTTTTCCAGGAAACCTGGAGAGACAGTGAGAGCCCCCATAAAATCAGACGGTGGCGGACAGGGCTCTCCGCATCTCCTTGTGCATCCCGTCCACCGACCCCTCCACTGGCTTGGGGACACACCTGTTTGTGCCTCTGGCTCTGGGCTTGATGTTGTGTTTTCTTTTGCAATCTGCAGAGCGGGTGAGAGGCCCCTGGGCGGGTCCACCATGGCCCCACTCAAGGCCCCTGCTACCTGGTGGCTGACAGCTTCCCAAGTGCGTGCTGCAGTAGTAATGCCACCCAGGTCTGGCCTGCACTGAGTTCTCCCTGCCTGGCCCCTGAACTCCTGGGGCTTCTGGGTAGCCATGGGGGGCACCCACCTGGCTCAGAAATTGAGTGCAGGCAAGAGTGTCTGTGGGGGAGGGGAAAGGCCTGGAGTCCGAGGAGAAAGACTACTTTTACCCCACTCCTCCTGGCTGTGCGGCCTTGAGTAAGTAAGTCGCAGTCTCCCTGGGCCTCAGCTCCCTCATCTGCAAAATGGGACCATAGCAGTCACCTGGCCTCACAGGGCCGCTCTTGCAGACTCCTCGGTCATGGGGGCGCAGTGAGCGCCTGCACGCTTCCCTTCCCTTGGTTGCTGGTACTGTTGCGGGCGGTATTTGGGGGTGCTGGCTGCATACCTGCCACACAGATCACGGGGGGGGGGGGGCACCTCCGACTGGTGCCAGTGCAGGCTCTGAATTAGGCACTTCTGCTTCCACCTTTGGAAGACACATTTTTAGCTGCAGTCTTTTTCCAAAAGTAAAGCTATCGAAGTGACATTGGTTAATCACATTATACACGTTTCAGTGCACAGTTCTATAATACGTCTTCTGTATATTGCATTGTGTGCATTCTTAATTTTAATCATTGGTTCTTACTGGTTAATATAAAAGTGAATCTGGTCAAATAAATAAACCCTGTGAGACTCCAGCGCATACAAATGCAAGGAGGGAAAGTGAACAGCGAGCCCGCGCGGGTGGAAAAGGACACGCAGCCCGAACCCAGCCCCGAGGGGAAGTACCGAGAACGGTGGCGGCAGCATAGATGGAGTTAAAACATGAGGTGGGAAGTGGAAGGGCGGGGACACTCCGACCCAGCTGGTAACGAACACCCCTCCAGGGGACTCAGGAGAGACCACCGTCTCAAAACCCGGGGAGACCGTCCCCCAACCCCGACCCCCGCGGAGCTCCCGCGGGCCGGGGCGCACGGAGAGCGAGGCGACCGGGGTCCCCAGCGCGACCCGCGGTGCGTCTGGAGGGCGGGTGGGGTCTGGCACTTCTCTCTGAAAACCGGACCCAGTCCCAGATCGCCCTAAGCCCCCCGCCCACGCTTCCAATGGAGCATGGCCCGGGTCCCGCGCGCCGGCCAGAAGGCGGCGGTGACTGAGCTGGGCACTGACCTGGGCACTGAGCTGCGCCGGGCCGGCGACGAGCAGCAGCAGCAGCAGGAGAGCGCGGGGCCCCCGGGGCCGCATCTCGCCGGTCGGGACCTCTCTGCCAGGGAGGGAACAACGCTGTCCGACTGATGCCCAGTGTGTCCAGCCGATGCGGAGTGGGTCCATCCGATGCTGAGTGTGTCCAGCCCACAGGGTCAGGGAGGTGGAAGCGCAACTGGCTGCCGGGGAGGGGAGGGGAGGGGAGCGCAGTCCCGCCGGTGCGCGTGGCCTGGGGTGCCTGCGGCCACCAGAGTCCATGGTCCAGCAATGGGGGGTGAGGGGGGAGGGAGGCGCCGGCCCCCAGGCCGGGAAGGAGGAGGGGCCACCCGGCCAGGAATGCGCCTGGAGCTTGCCCAGCCCCGGCCTGGGAGGCGGCGCGACTCCAGGACGTGGACGGCGGGCGTCCCCAGGGCGGCCCCCCATCCCCGGAGAAGGTGGCGGGGTCCGCACACCAGCTCTAGGCCGGGGCGCCCACCCACGCAAGGCTCCTGACAGGCCCCTTTTTAGCTGGAGACAGTGAAGCTGACACCCCCCCCCCCCAGCAGCAAGTGTGACTCCCACCCAGGCCTGCCCACTTCACAGTCGTGCACGGACACCGTTCCCCACCGCAGTGTGGCTAGGAGATGGGTTTCGCGAACTCTACAGGAGGCAGACTAAGTTCTCCATCAGAGTAGACTAGTGTCCTTTTAAATAATGCTGTTGGGGTCTAGGGACTCCACGCACGGGGACTAGAAATCGACTGCCCCCACCCTCCAGACGGAAGGGGAAACAGTTTAAAATGGAGGCGAGTTATGGGGACACTGGACGCTTCGCTGCGGCGGAGGGAAGGAGGGAAATAGGGCCCGGCAGGGCAGACAGGAGTGGTCCTAAGTGCCTGCTGCCTGGGGGCTGCGGGAGGAACCAGATGGTCTCCTCCAGCTCCTGGAAAACATTATCTAAGTTCTTACTGGAAAATGTTTTCAGAGGCAATGCTGCAGATGGCATGGTGCACACCACGTGTGCCAAGCCTCAAATCTAGTCCCTTTCAGCATGTCACTTAGCAGAGCCCCCTTGGAGCTCAGCAGGTTGCAGCCTGAGAGCAGGAGCTGGTTTCCTTGGAAAGCAGAAGGGGTTTGGGAATCCCTTGGAAAGGGTGAGGCAGTGTGCAGGTGGGCACCTGAGCGTTCACTACCCAGAAAATCCCATGGTGCCTCTCTGCTCACCTTCCTGTCAGAGGAAGTGGAGGGGCCGGGTAAGTGCACTTTGCATTCCTGGTGCGACATCCTGAAGAGAGACCTGGTCAGACATTCCTGCTCTCTTGTCCAGGTGGAGGGGGCCCGGGAGCCCGTGGAGGCTGTGCTTCACTGCCTCGATCTCTCGTGTGTTTGCTGTGTCTGCCCAAGCTGCCGGCCCCCTTTCTCTCCGCACCCCCCTCAGCCCACTACTGAAAGGGTTCGTTGTTTGCTTTGTGTTTTATCCCACCTGTGTTTTCACGGTGGCTTCCCCTGGAAGGCCAAACTGCTGGGACCCAGAGGCCGGCCCTCTTTCCTCTTCTCTTGCCCCCTCAACGGGTTCATAAAGCTGGGAGAAACCTTGATTTCACGATTTCCCAGATGGAGAAAGTGAATCGGGTGTGGCTGAGTGACTTGCCCAGGAGATGCACACTCAGAGCTCAGGGCTCCTCCCAGAGCCACCTGGGCAGAGCAGCTGCCCTCAGTCAGTCTCATCCCACCTTTCACGTACATCCATGGTCACAGGACTCCAGGAGTTTTATTTACAGGAACTGAGGTTTGGGGGAATTTTAGGGGGGGGTCGTTTGTAGTTTTTTTTCCTCCTTACTAATTCCATTTGCTACCCTTGTCCTGTGGCCGCCTTCTGTTTAGTACTCTGGCACCTGGTCTGAACCAGCCGTCTAAGGCCATGCTGCTGCCCCTTCTCCGTCCTCACTGCCCTTGAGTGGCAGTGGTGGGGGCAGGCCCTACAAAGCCAGGACCTGCCAAGTTGGTCTAGAAGCCGACAGACCATGACAACAGGCCAAACACCCTGTATTTGGGGCTCCTCAAATGAACCTCTGACTTAACATAGTGGACCTGTCGGCTCCATTGTTGCTTCTGTCTACACAAGAACGTCCAGCCTAAGAAAAAGTCTTGTAAGAATGCATTTGAGCCAAACTAATGGCAATTGTCAGGAAGCAACATCTCAATGGCTTGGCAAAATGCTCCAGTAAATGGCAATTTTACAGCTTACTTTTTACATGTGAATCAAAGGAGGAGACGTAAGGAACGTTACATGAAATCCGTTAGTGGTAGATTAAGAGGGCAGCAGAAAGCAAAGTGGGGAGATCTCTGGTATTGGATAAAAACTAAAATGGAGAGACACATACTTATTATTTTTTTTAGTGATTTGATTTATTTTTTAGAGAGGGGGAGGGGGGAGAGAGGGTGAGAAACATCAGTATGTGTGGTTGCCTCTTGCACGCCCCCTACTGGGGACCTGGCTGACAACCGAGGCATGTGCCCTGACTGGGAATCGAACCCGAGACACATACTTCTTTTACATAGGTGAGTACAGGACAGTTAACATTTACAGCACAGAGAGGTGGTGTTTGGGGAGTAAGGTAACAACAACGAAGGGTTCTCTGGTCTGTGCTCTGCTCTGCTCAGAGGTATGTTATTTTAGATGCAAAGAGACGACAGACAGGATCACTTAAGGTAAAGACTGACCTTTGTCAGGGAAGCTCTGTAGAACTTGACTACCTGCTATGCTTGTGTTTAGTTAGGGATTTCTATGTTCGGACCATCCTACGTGGTTCCTTTGGTCTCCGAGTGTGTAGGGCTCACCACGTAGGCCTCCCCTGAGCTTGTCAGGTTTAGTGTGTGGCCCCCTTTTTATTGTCCACACTTCTGTCTCCTCCATATTTTGTTTCCAAGGACTATTCTTGAGTGTTGGGGGGTTAGTGGTAGGGGGCATCTAAAGAAAATATGTCTAAAGGTTTTGCAAAATGAATTGCTATCTCTGAGCTCAATGCGCTCTTTGACATGCTTGTATTCCTTGTATCATGTGGGAATGCAAAGCCAGACGGGAGGGTTTGCTGTGGAAATGTAAGACCTGACCAGAAGCGCCACCCAGGTGGGCACGTGCCCACCTGGAAGGGCCCTTTGGTCCTGCATGGGGCCCCCACGCCACATGGCTCACCCTTTGGGCTTCACAGCTTGACCAGTTACCTGTGGCTGAATCCTGCCTGACGGCTCATTTGGGGCTGCTTCTCTGTCTAGCTTTTTCACCCCACATCCGTCTGTGCTTCTAAATGTCGGCCCCCACTGACCACCTACCAGTGTCCCAGAAACAGAGCCCCATGTGCTGGCCCCGCCCAGGATGACAGGGCAGCATGGGGGAGAGGAATGGGGCAGCAGCGCAGTCCGTTTATTGCATAAACACTACGAAATGTACGTTGGGCACAGCCCTGGGCCAGGTGCTACATTACGCTTCACGTACAGCCCCAGCCAACGAAACTGTGCAGTCCTGCCCTGGCTGGTGTAGCTCAGCTGTTGGATTGTCATCTCGTGCACAGAAAGGCCATGGGTTCGAGCCCCGGGCAGGGCACAGGTGGGACGCAACCAATCAGTGTTTCTCTGTGACACTGATGTTTCTCTCTCCCTCTGATATTAATAAATGTGCCTTGGGTGAGCATTTTTAGAGAGTGCAGTCCTGTGTTGAACTTTGAAGAGACTGTGTGCCCACATATGATGTCATGTAGCCAGAAGAGACATTTCTTCCTGGAAAATCGTTTCCAATTTTATAAAATGAAAATCTGTAGAAAAAAACAGATTTACTGTGCCATGATTAAAGACGAAACTCTGTCACCATCTGCTAAAAGGAGGAAAATGTTGCAAATCCATGAATGCCATCCCAAAAGCCTCTGGAAGTGGCCGAGTGGTAGGTGCGGTCATGGACGCACAGCCTGCGACACCAGACTGGATCTCACCCCTGCGTGCGGCCGTGTGGCCTCGCAGCTCTCCTCATCTTCACGGCTTGTTTCTTCATCCATATAATGGGAAGAGTGTTTATCTGGAGAGTTGTTATGACGTTTCAAAATAATGAATATGAGGTGTCTAACACAGTGCCTGGCATGTAGTAGGTGCATAGTTAAGGGGACCCTTGTCTAAACTGACTCCGAGGGCCCTTCATAGGGGGACAGCATAAAGGAACCAAATCTCAAGCACCCATCGTAGGCTAGGCCCTCTGTCAAGCACTTCACAACAACCCAGCAAAATGAGTCCCATTATTATTCCCGTTTTGTAAATTGGGAAGCTGAGGCTTAGGCTGCTTCAGCAAGTTGCCCGAGCTCCGAACATCAGGGTGGTAACTGGGAGAGGCCCTCGCTGTGCCGCTCCAGGAGGCCCAAGCATAAGGACTTGCTCCCGAGCTCCGTGGCCCATGTTTGATGGGTTCTGAGGCAGATATATCAAAATTCACTTCAGGAGAAAATTTCCAGGGTACATTTTTACTGTAAACCGTGATCACAACTATATAGGTTAGGCCTAATTACAATACCCTCCAAGGAACTGCCGAAATTAATCCCTAAGTCTAGCGTTTCATACTCAGTATTGTTCAAACCAGATGGCTTTGCCAGGTGACTCTGCCTTCCAGACCCACTGTGCGCCTTTTCCCACCTGCTGTCCATCCTGGAGGCCAGGCTGTAGGGACGACAGCAACAGGTGACCATGCCCTGTGTCCTCCAGCTGGGTAGTGGCCGGTGAAATGCTCAATGGGAGAGCAGCTGGACAAGTGTGATGTCATGAGGTTGAGTCAAGCTGTGTTCCTTGATAGATCGCTCCTCTTTTCAAGGTGACCTGTTCTCCACAACCTCTCTCCCTGGGGACTCCAGCGGCCACTCTCCCTCTCATCCTCCTTGGTCTCAGCGTAGTAACAGCGCCTGCATTGGAAGCCCTGGGATAGGGCACTCGCTCGTTGGTATATCTATCAAAGACATGGTCCTGTCCAAATCTTTGTAAAAAAGTTCCCTTCCAATTATCCTCACTTGAGCAAGCCATGTCTTGGCTTTTGACTAAGAGAGTGACCACCAGCAATAAGTTGAAAATGTTTCGCCTCCAGAATTGTGGCTCTAACAGAAAATGGGGTAAAATAGACATTTGATCAAGCTCGTACCCACACTCCGGGGAAGGCCCTGAGAGATACTGACTAACCAGTACCCCCCTGTCCCTCACCGGCACAGTCCGATTTTTGTTTGGGGCTGTAATAGACCTAGTTAAACATGT